TACGAACAATGTCACGAAGACTGTCTGGCCGAGGACATCCGTCATAACCCTCAACGATTTGATAAAGTCTAGCGCGGTGCTCGCGTCGAGACCGCGGGTCGAGTTGTCATAGCACAGCACATGGGCCCGCGTGGCCATCATTTCCGCGATCGACACGCGCTTGCGCTCCCCTCCTGACACGCCTCGCACGAACTCGTCGCCGACGTACGTGTTCGCCGTGTGCGGGATGTTCAGCATGCGGAGCAAGACGTCCATGACAGTCTGGTTGAACTCCTTACGCGACATCCCCGGCAGGCGACCGTTTGGCCCAGGTGTCTTCAGCGACAATGCGGATGCAAGCGTCTGCGAGACGGTCAATGTCGCGATATGGATGTCGTCTGGGTCGCTTGTCAGCTCCACGAGGCTTGCATCGTTTCACGCGTGCTTACCCTCTTGGTTGTAGACAACCTCGCCCTTGTAATACTTGGCCATCTCGTGCGCATTGATACCGGCATACCGGACATCACCCGATATCTTCGCATATTCCCGCCTTTCGTTAGCCATGGTCTTGAGGAACGTGGTACAGCCCGCCCCAGGACATCCCAAAACGAGGCACATTTCCCCCGGCTTCAGAAGCCCCGACTCCCTGTGAATTTTGTCAATATACTCGTGATGCTACGATTTGACGGTGTACGCCTACTCTTGAAGAATAGGTGTTGTTTCGACGTGCTTGGAGGGAAGCAATTTTGAGACCAGTGGCTGAAGCAGTAAGAATGGAGTGAGCCAAAAATTCAGGGCATCCTCTGCGTAAAACGTGAGCAACGACACAGCAGATATTCTTGCTGCTACCTACGTCCAAACGTTCTAACGTATAGCTATAGTACAAGTTTATGAGCCGTGATGAACGCTCACGATAAAGCAACTGGTTATACCTTGTGGTCTGTTCCTCCGAGCACCTCCACGCGAAGATTTTCCCAAGTGACACCGACGTGTTTGTGCTTGATGCCAGCACTCTGCATGGCATCATTGGTGCTGCTGAGGTACTCGCGCAGGTCGAACGTCTCCTCCGAGTCAGCTTCTCTTGCTTTCTCGATGTCTTGCTCATATCCCTTTTCTGTTCTTCCATCGTTGAACTGCGTCGCGCGCGAATGCCTTGAGAGTGTTCTGGACAGCTCGATGAAGGCAGCCTCAGCCTGGACGATGTCCACATGTTGGGCATGCGGTTCGGCGCCCGCCAGCGTCTCGTCGTCGCCTGGTGTTTTGCTCATGCGGTGGAGGAATGGAGGGGAGGGATTTCCGACAGGTCGGAGGGATGGATACCTCACGTCGCCTTTGTGCGGAGACGGAATGACCTGTGTGAAGCCAGTTATATAGGTGTGTGGATCGCGGGCGACTATGCATGCTCGGGGCTTCGCTCAAGGAGAGTCATCAAAATATCCCGACCGACCGGACCCGGATGGATTACCAAGCAGTGTTCAGCGTTACAACGTCTGCTTCGATGGTTTGATCAGCGACTGGTTGAAGAGATTCGTACAGAACCTAGTGCAGCCAGCAGAAGGATGTCCACATGATGGAGATGATAGCGCAAGTGCTCCACAAATAATCCGGCCTCTGCCTCGAGGTTTTCTAGAACATATCCACACGACGCGAGGGGTCGTCCCTCACCCACTAACGGCTCCTGCGCTGGCACGGATGACTCTATTTTCGCTCCCGAACATGATGCCAGCCGGCGTGTGACTTTCGGAACCGCATCTGCTCGAGTCGTTGACAAGGGCGCCTATGGTGGATGAAGGCTCACCATGCTTTTCGGTCCAGCTTGACAGATGGCCCACGCGCCAAGCTGTTTGCTACTTGTTAGATGCGATCTCCCCCGCCGATCGATACATACTCGCTCCACGTGGTTGTGTCCGCTCAAGGCCCCTGGACACCGTGGACAGCTTCCTCCGTGACAACTCAGTTTGTCACGCTCATTGCTCATTGCCCGCCGCATCCATCATGCACCTCCTACCCACTCTCGCAGTCTTCATCTTCGCACACCTCACCGCGGCGCACGGAAACAGTGGACCTGAAGCCGGAGAGAGCGTTCAGCAGTATTCCCATCTACATGATCCCTGCCATCATCACACCGACTATGTATAAGTCGTGCCTCGATACATACCTTTACGCGATGTGGGCATGCGAAGTATGCACTGCATACCACATGGGCAGTGGAACCCCCCATCAATGGGGTATGACCTCAACCTGCACAGCAGAGCCCGGAAAGGTAGCATGAATGACCTTGATATGATTCAGCTGCTGATGGTTTGCAAGTTTACTGGTAACATATTCGCTTTCGACATTGCTTCTTCTTGTTGCATCTGGAGTGCTTCATGGTCTCTTTCTGGAACCACACTGGTAAAGCTTCAGCAAGGAAGGGTAAGCAAGATTGAGCATCGTTTACAACAACTTTGATGTACCATACCGTAATTCTCCGAAAAATCGCGCACCACTGTTCCTAAAGTCAGCGCGTTGCTCCACAAATTCAATGCGCTTCATGTTGTCTACCTGTGCAATTATCCTTTCTAAAATGTACCATCCAAGTTGGACTGCTGTACTCCCGTTTCAAGAACTTAAATCGCATATGCTTGAAGACGGAGGGAAAGACAGGGAGACTCGCGCGACGCGCATCGCCCACGCGATCATAGAAGGCACGTGATCGCGCGTTGTACGTGGCTCTTAGGGCTCTTGCAGACTCGCCACTGCCTGTTGCACGTTCTGCTACCGGCACCATGGGTTCGACATTTCTGCTCGTTCTGTTCTGGCTGCTCTTCCTTTCACTTTTGGTGAATGCTGCAGATCTCTACAAAGCTCTCGAGCGTTAGTCGTGCGCGCGCACTTTGCTACCTTGGCGGATGGCTCGCTCATACAGTGCGAATTCATTCTAGTTTCTAGTTCAGCCTCCGAGCAGGACATCAGGAAGGCTTATAAGCGGCTTAGGTGAGTGGCACTGCCTATGGGAGGTTTGTGTGATTGAAGGACGTGTCAGTCGGAAGTATCACCCGGATAAGAACAAGGATCCAGGCTCAGAGGAAAAGTTCGTAGAGATTGCACACGGTCCGTCGCCGCAATTTATATGACACATGTGTCAGACATCTCATCTTTGGCTCACAGCATACGAGATCCTCTCGGACCCTCAGGTAAATCCTAGTCTTCAGTCAAATGTGGAGTGACGCGCTGACTCCAGGATAGAAAAAGCAAATATACGATCGACATGGAGAGGCGAGTTTCACATGAGAACCATGAGCTGAAAAGGTGTGCTTAACGAGGTTATTTGTCGCCTTCAGGAGGGCCTTAAGGCGAATGAGGGCGGCCAACATTATGCAAATCCGTTCGACCTCTTCTCGAACTTCTTTGGCGGTGGTCGTTAGTGGCTCACTTGGTTTCTCGTGACGTCTGCTAAATTCGTACCATCCTGTAGACCCGGCGAATCAACAGCGCAGGGGCCCCAACTCCGTTTCCGACATGGAAGTCAGCCTGTCGGACTTGTACGTACCGTGCAGTCATCTCTCGACTCCACGACTGACAGACCTCGTGCATACTCGATGCAGGTACACAGGCGCAAACATCGACGTGAGACCACTGCTACAGTACACGTCTCTCATTTCTCATCATCTCCTATAGTTCATGGTGAAGAAGCGAATCTTATGCGATCACTGCCGTGGCACCGGCGCTGCCTCCACTTCGGACGTCCACACCTGCCCGGTCTGCGGTGGCAGCGGCGTGCAGGTCATCCGCCAGCAGATCATGCCAGGCATGTACAGCCAGGCGCAGGTGACCTGCGGCTCCTGTGGCGGGCAGGGCAAGACCATCGGCCGCAAGTGTCCGCATTGCTCTGGCGCTAAGGTCCTCGATCACACGCAGCACTACACGCTCGAGGTGCCCAAGGGTGCATCGGAGGGCCATGAAGTCGTATTTGAGGGCGAGGGCGACGAGAGCCCAGACTGGGAAGCGGGAGATATCGTCATTCGCGTGCGGAGCAGGAGGGACAAGGGAGGCTGGAGGCGTAAGGAGTCTGGGTTGTACTGGAAGGAAACGATTGGGGTCGAAGAAGTGATTGCTGCTTCATTTACTCATTGACAGTGCTGAGCTAACGCACACATAGGCGCTGCTAGGATTCGAACGCAATCTCACACATCTAGATGGACACATCGTACAGCTCAAACGACATGGCGTGACGCAACCAGGTACAGACAATCTCTCTCGAGTGCCCTGTCACTGCATGCTGAATTGATCGCAGGATTTGTGCAGACAATCAAGGGCGAGGGCATGCCAATCTACGAGCAGGAAGGTGCTTTCGGTGATCTATACGTAGAATACAACGTCATTCTGCCCAATGAGATCGGCCCAGACATGAAGCGACGTGCGTAGCATCGCTGCTAACTGTGACAGTACGAACTGACTTCGCGTGCATTTAGGGTTGCTGAAGGCATTCGGCCGCTTGGAGGAGGACGGCACTCACTCGAAGGACGAGCTGTAACAATTGCGACATCTAGAAGCAATGCAGACTTAGAGCTGAGTGTAATTTATTATGAACGCAGAATTGTCGGACAATGTTGAGTGCGATAAGCTGGAGCGAGTCAGCCGTGAGGCATCTGGAGCCAGCTACCCTTGAAATATTATACTGATACAGATGAGCACTGCACTACACTGCGGGTCCATTCATGCCTGAACCAGACGTTAGTCTCATGCAAACGAATGCCGATAAAAACGGGCGTACCAAGTAATTGTACGATTTGCGATCTTCACATCGTTCTAGGTAGTCTCGCTGCAGACAGCGTGCGTCAACCATCTTGCCAAAAAATCCAAAAATCAAAAGACGAACCTCAATAAGTCCTTCGATGCGCTTCTTGATGACCATGGGATCGGGATGGAATCTACCCGCTAATTGTCGCGTCACCTCATTCATGAGATCGTTGTGTGTCATATGCTTGCGGTCCTTCATAATGCGCACGATGCATGCCTACACATATTCAGTTGCAAGGATGAATCGGTGGAACGCACATATTCCACATACCTCCGTCTGATGCCGCCGTTCTTCATCTACACGATCCTTCGTCTCCTTTCGTTCATCCGCGTTCTCCACGCGACTGGCAACAGTGCTGATCTTGATCTTCTGAAGTGGTGAACTGAAGTCCGAGTTGAATGAGAACGAGTCGTTCTGGTCGATCTCGCGCCCTGGTGGATGCTTCTTTAGGATTTTATACTTTGCACAGGCGAGAGATTGCAGATTGCGTTGCAGCTCTGTCTCTGGGATGGCCGTCGCGGTTTTGATCTCCTGCGGACACCTCATCAGTCACATACAGCATAAGATTAAGAATCCCTACCTCGTAAGTGAGGGTTTCGCCATCTGGGAGGTCCTCAAACAAGAGCAGAATCACCAATGCAAAAGTTGAGACGTTGAGATCGTGCTGTCGGGCCTTGAATCTCACGCGCACATCGGCATTACCCAAGGAAGGTTGCCACGTAACTCGCCGTCCTGAATGCTTAGAAAGGTAGAACTGTTCATAGGACTTGCATGCCCTGATGAGCTGATCCGGGAGATTGCAGGGTGCAGCTGAGTACGACATGGGCCAGAATGTCGAGGTCATGATTGTCACTGATATCTCAACTTCAGGCGCCTGTTAGAGAATCAGCCATGTCCGAAAGTCTCTAAAAAGCTGGATTTTACGGTTGTCTTTGCTAGATATGCCCTATACGATTGCATGTGCTCCGCGGATATCCTCATATCATGAAACATGCCTTCCAGCTTCTGCGTGAACTGGTAGCCGCATTCGACCTTGAGCTTGGCGAGCATGCCGCGCTCTGCGTCGTCTGAGACGGACCGACCCTGAAGCAGGCGCTTCGCAAGGTGCCCCTTGTAATAACGCTCGAAGATGTCCTTGTCCGTTAAAAACCTGAAGATAGTGATTGTCTTGTCGAGGACCTGATCGACCTCAGTGTCTGATTTCTGGTGTATTGTTCAGCCTCTATGCGAAAGGATAACGCGCACTGAAACCTACTCCTTTCAGACCCTTCTTCAGATTGTCATCGATGAACAATGAGATAAATTCTGACGCCTTCTCATGTTGATTGACGAACGTCTCGAAGGCCTGAACGAGAGCTGCTTGATCTCTCCAAGAGACATTGTACAGATCACATACCTCGTTCATGCCGCTCTCAATGTCTCTATCGCTCTGAAAAGCACTCACCCAGATCCTATCAAACTTGTCCTTTAGATCCAACACATCCTGTACCCATTTCAGTGCAAGCGACAGCGTTTGTGAAGCAGCCGCAACACGCGCTTTGCCCTTGCCCTTGAGCTTCGAAGTAGTGGTCATCTCATCTTGTGCTTGGAGGTCATCGGCATCCGCATTCAGGCTAGCGGACTTAAGCTCTCTTCCTCGTCGAATGATACTTTCTCTCAGAACCTTTCTGAGGGTCGGGACGCCTATAGTGGCCATTGTGAACAGACGGTACAAGCGGGATAAGTCGTCGATCTTGTCCGTGTCAATCATCATGTCTAGTCCGGAGTTGGGCATGGAGAGTACGGTCGACAGGTGTGGTGTCAACAAGGTTTGTTCCAGAAGTCGTCGTAGAGACAGGCTGGTCTTGGATGACAGGTAATGGTGCGCTCTCGATTCTTCTTGCTGGAACCGGATTTCTACCTGAAGACAGTCAGCCTAAGAAAAGAACATGCATATAACGGCATAAGTATACTCTTCGCAAGTATTCCGGTGCATCGCATGTCTCCAACAGCTGGATGCCCTCCTTTTTATAAAATGCCTCACTCTCTTTGAGCACGGCAGGCTCCAAGTCTCGCGCATACACCGACTTCTCGGAACGCTCATCGAAGAGCTGTAGAAGCACGTCCACACAGCCTTTCACGGCCGAGCGATTGATCACATACCCGTCGCGCTCTGTATGAATCTCGGTGAGGATAGCATTGACCAGGTTGTCTTCGATGGGAGATCGCAATATATGCTTGATGAAAAGGAGCAGGCCAGAATCCCATATCTCCGGCACCTTCGCGTCCTTGGTGTAGACACGATCCTAGTAAAGGATATCGAAGTAAGTCGATCAGTTAGAAACGTGTCAACATACCATGTATTTGAGAACGTCACGCAGCTTAGACAGACTAGATGTGTGGTCGTCCCATACTTTCCTCACAGCTTTCAGCAGCGTCTCCCCTGCTTGAGCCTTCTCAAGAGGATCGTCCTCGCTGCCACTGGGAAACGCAGGAAATATGTATTCGTTCGCGAGCTTCTCCAGATTCTCAGCAATTAATTTGTTGGTCCCTTTGTACAGTGTTTCCCCATGACGATATAACACCATGTTGTATGCGTATCGATGGTTTTCTTCGTAGGACAGATTCGCCGCATTATGATTCTGGATCTCGACGATATTCTTCGATAGCTTGGACCATGTCTCGTCGATGGAGATATCTGGCCCATGCTACATCGCACCTCCTCTCAACGAAGGAAAGGAATGAAGATTTCGGAACGGCATACCCGTTTCACAGGTCTCTAGCCAAAATCGGTCAGTCACAGGAGCTACTGGCACACGAGCTCCTTACAATCTTGGGCTTCCCCCTCGATCGGAGTGCTGGCGGATTCATGCTCTGAGAATTTGGGGAGCTACCTTAGCATCATAAAACATACGTGCTGCCATTACGGTCTCCTCAGCCTCAGGTTCAGCTACTTGAAATGGAGCGATGGAATGTAGGGGTTTGTTGATTACAGAAAGCAAAATATTTCGAGTGCAAATGTGGCCCCAGATGTCAAGTCTGTGTGTTCGACGAGATGAGAGTGCGGCGCGTACTGCCAACGAGGATGGAGCGCTAAGAATCACGTGAAGCTAAGGTACAGAATGCGGGAACAGAGGTCTGGGTCACCACACGGCAGACGTGATGCAATTTATCAATGTGGGAAATTGTGTGTGAATCTCGACTGATTTCTTACACATGCGATAAATATTTGCAACGATGGCATTTCATGTCGAAAATGTTTCACTTTGGTTGTGAACGCGCACTATTTGCCGATTAAATGCTATATTGGCAAATCTTTGTCACAAATGTAAGACATCAGCCGACATTCCCACACTATTTTTCACACTGATAAATCGGAAAATGTCTGCCGTGCCAATCTGTTCCCAATCCTCATCCTTGCTGGGGATTCTCATTCGCGGTCGACAGATACGCTGTTCTATCAGCACAGCATAGTATTACAATGTCCTGGCGCATCGAGAGTATGCATGACGGACGACGTAGTCATTATGATCCAATTGCATACGTCAGTGCGGTAAGGAAGACGTTGATGAACAGTATAAGTAATTGCGTTTGTTTGTGTGTAGACTAATAGAAGAGAAAGCGATGCATAGAAGACATGTTATAGGATGAAGGCATTATGATCGTGATGCGCGAACGAAGTCAGCGAAGTATTTTCGGAACGCTTTGGCGTCAAGATCCCGCATTTTTGTGACGAACTCGATTGCAGCAGGTTCAGGCCAATTTTGCGCAGGGAGGAAGACGGCGACGAAGAAATCGAACGCTTCCTGCCCTCGGGCTTTTGAGATGGCTTGCAAGAAGTTGCAAATCTCATGCAGCACCTAGGCGACGACTCCTGTGAGCATCACCTTGTAGCCCTTCAGAAGTAGCTGTACATACTACGAGCATCTGACCATCCTTGACATTAAATTGCGGCGACGACAGTGCGATGAACGCTGTAGGGACCAGACGCTCGTACACAAAGCGTTCGAAGCCAGGTAGCACCTGTGCCTGCGTGTCCGGGTTAGGCCGTGCCCATACGGCCACGCATCGGGCGAAGAATGTGAAGGCCGCCTTCTGGCTGAATGGGTCTGACACGTCTTCTGCTAATCGCTGCATACTGCCCAGCAGGCCTTCCAATTGCCCTTTGTTTCCTAAGGCGCTTTCAATACGATTGCGGGCAATGCGCTAAGTAAACTCACGTTCTGATATGAAAACAGGGTGCAGTTTTGAAGCCATGATGTTGTTCAGAAGAGCGAGATAGGCCTTCTTGGTATCCGCGCGAGCAAGCTCATCATCCGTTCCCGATACCGCTTGAGACATAATGGCGTTGATATGTGCACTTAACGGTCCAACCAGCTGGTCGAGCACATCAAACATATCCTCCTGCTCTGAAGTTCGGCACACAACCTTCATGAGAGGATGGATTGCTCCTACCTGCAGTTTATGAACGAGGAGACCGATGAAGTTCATGAAATCAACCAGTTCTGAGGGCTCGAAGTGCGCCAAGAGGCTGGCCATCAAGGATGGAATGAGTTTGGTGACATTCGGTCCAGTGGTAGCGAGAATACGGGCGAAAGCGAATCGTGTCTAACGCTAGTAGATGAGAGTGAGACATCGAAAGCCAGCACCGCTACGTACCGCATCCCGCACAACCTTGAATACGTTCATCGCCTCGAGAGACACAAGAATAGCTTGCGCCACCTCGTTAAACACATCCAACGGTGGTAGAATGTATCCTGCCGGAATCGGCGAAGGATAATCTGGAAATCCTTTGGCAATATTCCCTAGAGCCATGATGATATGATGAACCTTTAGTATCGGCATCACGTCCTCTACCCCCTTCACCGCCTGCAGATTCAGAGACAACTCAGCCAGCAATGGCCTTACAATGGACTGAAGAAGCGCAGAACCCTGTTCCGGAGCCTTGTAGAGGAGCGAAGCTAGTGTGCCAGCCGTTTCGAAGAGGTACAGCTGTGCATCAAAGATGCCCGGGTTGTTGACAGCTTCTGTCAACAGATCTTGCTGCTCAGGATTCTCGAGCTCGGGCAGCTCCACCTGGATTGAAAGCAGGTCGCGCATTCCTTGCAGTAATGATACGGCAAGCTCCGGAGAAATTTCATTCTTGCTTTCTCGGATGAATCGATAGAACAAATAGAATACTCGTGAGCGGAGGCTCGACACAGGATTATGCAGACCTCTAGATCAGTCGTCATCAGCTCTATAGGATATCTAGTTCGAATACCTCGCTCACCGAGTGTCCATCATGGCCTGTAAAGTTGGAACGATACAATCCTTCCGAACTTTGAAGAAGTCGCCATACCGTGCAACAGTCTCAAAGAACTGCATGACCACAGTCTTGTTGGGATACCCCGCAATACCTGAGCGTACGAGGGCATAGAGCAATTCGCCATGCGTCGTTAGCGGATACCCGGAGTAATCCGTCTCCTTGCGCTTTTCTCTGTCAATGGCCGGAGCCTGGCAGAACGCCGCACGTCCTTTGCTTCCGCCTACAAGCACTGTCAAACAAGCGAAGCATCGACATTGCAGAGGCAACATACTCTTATTAATTTCTCCAAAACTGTAAACCAAGTATACCGCTAGCTCTGCATCGTTCCACTTGACAGGAGTGCCACTTTGATATGCTGTCAAAGTGTTGATGACCAGACTTCGCAATGCTTCCGTGACCAGATTTTGTTCTATGAGTAGCGTTGCATCCAGGAATGTCCGCAGATCCTGCGCAACTAGTTAACATTGATCGGTTTTGATGACGGTAGAAAGTACCTTGCGGAGTTCCTCGAAGGCAACTTTGTCGTCTTCATCCATGTCTTCTGGATCACAGTCTTCTTCCCATTTGAGCTTCTGCAGGATAACTCTGAGTAAAGACGTCAGAAAGGATCTCTTCTGTTCGTCTAGTGGTTCTGAGGACGTCTTTCTCGATTTTTTGTACTATTCGATCATCCATAAGTGACACATGAGTACAGGGAGACATGATGACTCACGCTCGAAAGCACAGTCTGGAGAAAAGGGAAGACCGTTGATCCTGTATCGTCGTACTCATCCGCCATGAAACGCAGCATGATCGGAAGCGTTTGCTGCAATATCTGATTGGCATCTGAGCGGACGTCATTGATGGTAGATTCCTGAAGCCATGATCAGAAAATACCACGACAAAGACGCTAACACGTACATCGATGATTTTGCATATTTCCAGGCCAAGGATATTCAGTAGCCTGCCGAGAGCCTCTCGATATGACTCCTCTCCTTCGTCAACGTCGGAACCACGAGCCGCTTGTTGGACTCGTGTTTTGGATTCGAGCGCATCGAGAACTTGAGTGAGAGACAGAACCTTGATCAGCTGTAACTTGTCTCCCGGCTCTTTGAGGCCTTTTCCGACGATCTTTACAAGAGCAGAAGAAGTAGCCAAGCGGATTGGCAATGAAGAATCCGACAAAAGGTTGAATAGTAGCGGTACAGTCGTCGGTGTCACAGTGAGGTTGATGTCAATCCAGCCTGACAGTGTATTCAGACCTAAGGAAATAGAATGACATTTAGGGACTCACCGACGTAAGAGGCAAACGTCCGAACTCCCCAATCCACTACTTCAATAGCCGTGTCCAGCTCCCGATCTGCAGATGCGCCCTCCTTCCTTGACCTGGCCATCCTCTCAGCACCATCCGCCACAATAGTCAAAACGGCTTCGTTGATACGGCCTGCATCTCGTTCACGCACAGCGTCTCTAACTCTGCCATCTCTCGTGTGACGTTCCTGATTGAAGGGTCTAGCCGCCTTGATCATCTGATCTGCGACTTCACCAGAGATTTCCAGTACGATGTGAAAGAACAGGAGGGATACATGGTGATTGAATGTCGACTGCGAGGTCGACTCCGCAGGGCGGATTAGCGCGAATAGATCAGTAAAGAATGTCGGCCATTTGTCCATGTAAGTGCACAGGAAAAATAGAGTGAGAGTATGTGAAAACTTGTTGCGTAGGACTGGAGCGAAATCAGCATCATGCAGAAGTGCTCGGACTGCGGGGACCTACAAGGAGCTTCAACTTCTGCTGAGCCGTACAGATATTCAGATTGTATATAGGATACGAAAGACTGGCGCAAGGTTTGGAAAGACTCATCATCTAGAGGCTCAAAGCTAACACAACCGTGGCATGCAGAGTCAGTTGACGCGCGCACTACGCGCAGAAGTTCCATTGCCGGAGACCCACCGATTGTCCAGAAATTCGTCTAGTAATCGTAACGCAAAGAACCTTGCTTGTGTTGGATATTTTCGGGAACCATTCGGATTTGCTTCCACGAACAAAGCAAGAGCCAAGCGCCATGCACTGGCGGCATTTTGTTGGATGGATGAGAGATACTCCAAAGCCTGCTGGTGCAAGGATCCTCGCGTTGGATCGGACGCAATCGCAATGGCCTGAACGACTTGATCCAAATTCTGTTCCATCGCGTGCAGCTTGGGAGGGCGACACTTGCTGTGAGTCAGAAGAGACCGTGGAGAGAAGCGATTTCGCAATGCTCGACAAAACCACAGAGCCAGAGTCGAAAGGACTCGGGTGCACGTGATGGTGTACTCACTCAGGCTTCGCCGCTTCTGCGGTGTGGGTGTGGCGCATCAAGATTCAACACCTCAACGTTCAACGCTCATCCACACCCATATTTTCTCATTAGCTGTTTGCTTCATCTCAATTTACGCAGAGCGAGCCGGCCTTGGAACGCGAAAACCTTGAGTAGTGATGCTACAACTTGCATCGCGCAGGGGCACATTACCGTTCCGGCTGTCTGGAAGAATACCACGCAGAAATGCCTCCAACATACCTAAATACCATTCGAAAGTTATGAGTCAGCGGTTCCTACTAGATTCGTCAGGTATATGAGTCTCAACGATGACTACGTTTATAGTGATTCCGTTTGAAATGACGGAGTGGGAGGCCAGCAAACGACTCGATTTATCCATGTCCGTTAGATGCGGACATATGGGTGTCCTCAGGTCTCTCATGAGGGCCTTCCCCTGGCCGCGATCTATACCCGTTATGCCATTGCGTGTAAAAGCGGTCTATCTGCCCATATGGATGATAGATATGACCCTCGAGGCAACTGCATGGGTGTATGCAAGTCCGGACGGAGAACTTGGAAAGGTAAATAGATTAAATCCAAGTCTTGCGCTCTGCTGTATAGTCTAACGCTGGCTGGTTTCTGTTCAGCACAGTATTACGGTCACACAGGTCGATCAACTCTCGTGCGTCTGCTCAGACTCTACCGATCTTTTCTGATAACACGCAGCGCACAGTTGTATCCCAGGTATGGTGCCACGCTAGTATCTTCAAATCTCCTTTATTCACTTGGTTCCATCGCCATCAGGCTTTGACCACGATCCTTTATCAAAACTTTCTTTTGCTTCGCGAGAACTCGGGGGAGCTTGGCATCTACCGGCGACCGCGACGAACATCAAGGAGCAAGGTCAGAACATCTTATGCCTGCCATTCACACGTACACCACTACATTTCATGGACGCGATCCGTTCCCTTCATCCTGACAAGACCACGCTTTATGAGGAAGTCAGATTCGATCCTGCCTCGGTGAAGGAGAATCTCGTGCGTATCATTTTCATACGCCTTCGGCATGGCAAGACGACATCTGATCGGTGCAGTTCGCAGTATTTCCCCTCTTATTGCCGGTGTATTTGGCAGAGTACGAAAGCAGGGAAGGGCAGCCTCTCACAGTCGTGCTTGAAGGGTGGCACAAGAAGGCAAGTCTGATTACAATCGCTTCTCTCGCGATCGCTGCTGTACACGCAGTATTGTCACTACCGTCATCATTGCACGCGTCTTGCAGCAATCCTTCCCCCCTCCCCGAAGCCTCTTCTATATCTCGCTAGTTACTCACTCGATTGTATTCAGGGTCGCATCATCGTTGAGAACACAGATAGATACCTCGTCCCGTCGTGGCTGGGACCCAGGTTTCTCCAAAGGCAATGGAGACGCCTCCCACATAACAAGGGAGTCTATCTCCTCATGGAGCGGCAGGATTACATGTACCCCATCGCACATTCAGCAGCTAAGTTGGACTTCCGGATGCTGGACGCGCTGCCAGAGTGGACGAACCAGCTCATATCGCGATGGCTGAAGAGAAAAGGCAAGTCGGAGGGCGCGGCAAACCTAGATGCATCATCTGCACTATGGGATGACCTGCGGATCCGACCTGCCACACTTGAAGAGAGGCTGCGGAACGAGATGTTCTTGCTCGTGGATCTGTACATGGTAGCTGTCAAGAGGAAGATAAATGTGAGTTCTTTCCGCTATACGTGCTTGACAATATGCCCTTAACTCCGCAATCGCTAGACAATAAAGGAAAAGAACATCTCTGCTCCTGACATAAGATTTCCGTTCGAGATCAGCGTTATCGATGAGCATGATTATGACGAAGAAGACATAGACGTGCCAGGAGCGATGAAGATGAAGGCTCAGTTGTTCGCGAGGACAATAGAGCTTAGATTCAAATCATGGACCGTGGAGGAGCTGGAAAAGAGGCTCGAGGAGGCAAACCGATGGAGAGAACAGTGGATGCCGAGATGGTGGAGAGAGTGGAAGGATGTCCACCAGGATAGGCCGGCGAAAGAGGGCGAGAAATCGCCGAGCAAGCGTACTCCATAAATGCACTAGAACCGCGGGTCACTGTATGCGAGAGGCCTCATCGCGCTGCTTGCTTATGCAGGATGCAATAATGTAAGTACATATGTCAGAACAATATCAACGGTGCTCCTGTCCCTCCGACGCGTCGCTTGTAGTGGACGACTTGAGCTCCCATTCTGCCAACCAACTTGGTTTGCTCTGACGCCGTTTCTCATCAATCTCCTGTAGCTGCCGCTGGAACCCCTTCAGCTGCTCTGGGGTCTTCGCATGCTCATCCCCGCCCTCGCGACTGAAGCTGGCTCGGTCAATCTCCCGCGAGTCTTCTGCGGCTTTCATAATCATGGCGAACACCTATATCACGAACGCCAGGGTGAGCGCTGTACTCGACGAGGATAAAACCGGTGCACCTCCTCGACGTTTTTGTTGACCATCCACATTCTGCCAAGGTCCATCCAAACTCGGTTGGCCATCTTCTCCTCGTCAGTGAACTCCCTGATCCGCAGGTCGTCCCAATCAACCACATTCACACCAGATTCCGTGGCACTGCATGGGAAATACTTCGCTTGGTAGGACTCTATGGCGCCCTTGGTCGCCGCTGCGTCATTCACCCACTTCTCCAGCGCACCCTGACTGAGTTTCACGTGTGGCATCGTAGCGTGCAGTTCGAGCGGGGCGAACCGAGAGATTGAGTTGGACCCATCGTTGACCCAAAATTCCCTGGGAGAGAGGTAGTCGATGAAGCGTTTGAAAAAATCAGGCCCATTTGGATCCTTGTTGAGTATTCTTTGAGCTTGCTCCCTGTCACGGTCTTCTGTGACGATGCGACCCTGTAAGAAGACCCTGATCAATTTTCGTGTCGATGCTGGATATCTTATATGGAAGGCAAGCTTGGAACATGCACTTGGCCGAGAAGCATAGCGTATGGTATGATGCCTCAAAGAAGAGCGCGAGTCTTGTGTCTAGAGATTTTAAATGGCCTCCTACCTTTCTAGTAAAGGCTTCCAGGATAGCAGTAAACGTTAAGGGATCTCCAGTATCGATCGCGGGCATCTCATATTGAGCAAGATAGATAGGCACGAGCACCGGGTAGGCTGCAAACTGTAGCATACTGAGCTACCATATGTCCTCTGTAGGCATAAAGAAAAAACGCACGAGATTCGCTTTCACAGCAGAGGGATCGAACTTAAGCTGTTCCGAGATGGTAGCCTGCTGGTACGATAGCGAGCGCGCAACATCAAGAAGGGGAAATGGCGTGACAGAGAATGGCAGGCACAGAATCTCGGTGCCGCGCTGTGTCAGAAGGTCTTCAGAGAATCGAATCGTAGAGCCTCTGTCAAAGAGCATCGAGTTGAGGGAAATTCGGGACAATGGTTCATATACGAAACCTTCCGCCGTGGTGGGATTAGCATGAATCTACCAACAATGTCGAGCACTGAACCTGGCACGTATCTTGGACAAGTTCGTGAAGACCGAGCAAGAATGCAACAGGTAATAGAACGTACGACTGCTGGAAGAACACTCGCGCGATTCTCTAGATATCCATATCAATTTTGGGCATGCGCCATGACAGGGAATCGCGAGAAGCACCTCGATCGTTTCGCTCTTGTCGGAGTGGTCCTGCACCCATATCTGCGCCTCGACCTCGGCGTCCACCAACCAGATCGGCAGGTATATGGCCTGTATGCGATTTGGCCGCAGCGGCTGGAAGCCCATTCCCGGCAGTAAACGCGCAGCGACAGAACGAAAAAAGTCCCTGCCCCAGCATTTGATGGACATTGGCACGCCGAGCCTTAGGATCGCTTCCTCCGTAGAGAAAGCGAACGGGAAGGCTGCAAACGATGAGCGCCATCATCGGAATATGCACAAAATGAGGCACCTCTGACTTTCGGGGGGAACCGCTGTGCTGCATTGGACAATCCCCTCCTATTAGACTTGAGAATGAGTTTCAGCGAGCGGTGACCACATGGATTCCGGAACATATTGGCATGGATGAACACGCAAATGTTCCCCTTCAGCAGCAGTCACGTACAAAGCGCAGGAATGTGACAGAGACCTGTGTAGCGCTTTAGTCTGTCTGACGGGATAGTGGATGCAGACTTAACTCGAGGTTGTCCCACTGAACCGATTTCCTACGCACGTGACCGTGGCGTCAGACGAACGCGCTCGGTGTTTGGCTGGGAGACACAGACTTGTAGAAAATTGAGAAAATCAATTTCTTTGTGTGTGGATGTATGAGGGGCCCCTTTGGACAAAAATAATAAAAAAAGCATCTTTCGGAAGCGAAAAAGCAAAACGAAAAATGAGTATCGAAACGCGAGCGCCTACGTAGGCGCTGGTCCCGCTTTAGGCAACTGATGACACTAAAATGCGATTAAATAAACTTTTCGGGGACTTCGGAGCTCTCCGATCATCTTCCGTGTCTTACAAGCAATGTATGATCTATACATGTACAAAGCCAATCCATGGACTGTTGGAGAGCATGTGTATTAAGCCTCAGATTAGGAACACGGAACGCGGGTGAGCGTCCGGGATGAAGGAGGATGCGGGATGATGCGGATCTTCCCGATATGGCATTCCTTTATATATACATGTACACATTAGAAAATATTATCTAATCCCTCAGCCACATTGGTCCGGACTCTCATTTGTGAGGGCCTCGGTACCTCGGCTTGTTCCCGAGCCTCGGTCGTGAGGTTCAGCTTTCTCAACACTCTCCCGCAAGCCGATGGACATCCCAAGCAAACGAGATAGCTTTTGATGCCGCAGTTTGGGGAGTGCTTTCGTAAAAATGTCCGCAATCATATCTTCAGTAGGACAATAAACAATATTAATACATCCCCTTTGTTGCTGTTTGCGCACATAATGATATTTTACATCAAAATGTTTGGAACGCGCATGAAACTGAGGATCTCTTGCAATTGCAATTGCAGAATTATTATCCTCATACAACAGGGTAGGTTGGGACTGATTGAAGCCTATTTGTTTAAATAAACTTTGCAGCCACATGGCTTCACGGGCTGCTGCCACAGATGCGATGTATTCTGCCTGTCACAGATTTTCGCCACAAAGTCCGCACGTGACTTTTCTCACACCACAGATCACGTGCTTCACCAATATCTCACGCCACTCAGCCACAGATGTGACGCGTAGAGATCAGGTGATAGTCCACATCACATGTTATGGTCCAGACCCGTGGATGATACGGTCGGACCTGTCTATTCCAGGATACAATAGAGGCACCCATTTGGGAACAAAGGGAACAAGGACTATTGTTATGCATCGGCCTTCCGCTTCCTATTAGTTTAGCCAGAAGCCTAGATAGGTACAATGTTCACACCGGAGAACAAAAAGAAAACCAAGATAGGCATGATGTGCACACGCATTACTGCGGCAACCATCGATCTTCCCACTTATTGTTCTACTTCCGGACATCCTATTGTTCCGTGTATGGCCATTTGCTTATACCCGTAGATAGGTAGCTTAGGTAAGATAGCCCGCTGTACGTGTATATAAGACCAGCCATGTAGGGACGAAACCTCAGATTGTTTCTCCTCGTCTACTACCCATAGCACTCACTGAGCTCACCAGCTCCTTCATATATCTCTCACCCTTTCCTGCGTCTGCCACATCGACCAGTAAGTCAACAGGCTCTTGTGCCACATAGGGTTCAGGGGGATACTTTTGGGATCAGGGGGATCAGGGCGGCACGTTCCACGTGACTGTCCCTTTTTAGTCTTTTTGATCTCTTGTCCGGTGTTACCGTGACATTAGAAACAATCTGACATTTTCTGTGCCCCTGCTTAGTGTCTAACACAAGTGGCCACGTATTTTCAGCACAAGCAGTTTCAGCCGTAGCGCGCGGCTTTTTTGACACACATTCCAATCTGATCTCTACCCGGCGTGAGCCTCAGCAAGACTCTGAGCTGCCCAAAGCCTCAAAGCGCAAGGCCACCCCCAGGATCGACCTCGACGCCCACTACAAGCATCAGGAAACCAACAAGGAGCGTGGAAGGCTCCTCACACTTGCGTCACTAGGCGCATCGTCCACAGACAGGCAGCGAGCAGCAGCTAGGGTTGTAGATACCACACACATCATAAAGCGCGGAATCATCCGCAAGCCACTGTCACGGCACGCCGATGACAAAGATAGACAACCAAAATAGAAACCCCTTGAGGGTCTCCTGGCTAAGAGCCGACAGCGACGAGCTGTGGCGGTACGACGTGCCCACTGACGAGGCCTAGTTGCTAGTCGCAAAGTATGACTTACTGGCGAGGCAAGTGGCGCTATCACAAGTGAGGATGATAATGAAATGTATAGCACACTGCGAGTGTCTGGTAAGACCCCGCTGTGATGGTAGTGGTGGACGAAGGAGAATAAGACTGAGGTCTCCTCCTCGTCTCGCTGGTCCTTATATACATGATTGTCTAGCTACTGTACAGTACTTCATAAGCGAGTCACACGCTATTCTACTGGATGGTGCTACAATCGTACGATGTGTCCCAATTATCCTGATTGGCTGCCTAATAATAACCCACGGAGACGGGGCTCCTCTTGAGCACGCAATATGGTGTCATGGCGATTGCGCCATATGATGCCATGCCGAGGAGCTCGGTGTCACGTGACAATGCCGAGGGAGATCCGAGGTCATGTGACTAGATGCCTCGTTATCTTATCTCTTTAGGTCACGTGACTTCTTGTGCGACGAGAAATGATGAAAAATGATATGCTTCTTAATAGCATTTGTTCCTTTAATGACTTGTCCGGTAAAACCGTGACATCCCCCCCTTCTCAAGGTTCATCGTCCCGATGAGCCAAAGCCTCTGGCGCCACGTATTGTTCGTTTTGCGAGCGAACTATCTGCCTCTGAAATGATTCCTGGGGCGTAGCGTTCGCATATGAACTGAGCGATACGGTCGCCTGTCTTGACCTCAAATGGTTCGCTGGTTGTGTTTACCAGCAGAACCTTGATTTCCCCTGTGTAGTCCGGGTCTACTACCCCTGCTGCGACATCAATTCCTTTGAGGGCTAGCCCACTTCGGGGTGCTACTCGAATGTATGTCCATTTTGGGGGGTCGACCGCCAATCCGGTGCCAACGAGCATTCTGGAGTGTGGGAGAATGTTTAAGTCCTCTACCGACTTGACATCCCATCCGACAGCTTCGTGAGATCCCTTGTAGGGTGCTCGGGCATTTGGGTGAAGGCGGAAGAAAAACATGAACTCATCAGGGTGGTCAGACAGGGCAATTTTGTGCGCTTTGCGTGTTCGCGGCTTAGCTCTTGGGGCGTCTGGATGTGTCTTATGGAATTCCTCTACTTTGTCTTTGACATGTGTGAGGTTCTCCAGTGGTTCCCAAGTATTATCGCTGTGGTCATAGTCTGACCACTTGACAAGATACTGGGTTTTGTTATACCGGATTCTTGAATCGAGGATATCCTCTACGTCCCATTCTTCTTCTCCGTCGATGATGACTGGAGGGTTAGGGGGAGGTATGCGTCCAGGGATCGAGTCTTGATGGAACATAATTAGCTTTGAAGCGTGAAACACAGGGTGTATCTTCATGTCCGCTGGTAATTGCAGTTTGAATGATACGGCTCCGATCTTTTCGAGGATCTTGAATGGTCCATAATTTTGAGTCGCAAGCTTCTGGCTTTTGACTTTGACATGGAGGTCTTTTCCTCGGATAAGCACTTCGTCTCCTACTTTGAAAGGAACGTCCTGCTTTTTAAGATCGAAATACCATTTCATACGTTCTGCTGCTAATGACAGAGCGGCACGTGCTTGTTCCTGTGCTTGGTCGCGGTTGTGGAATAAGTGTTCCAGGGATGGATGTTGTATTCCTTCCAGTACATCCGGTGCCATGCGGGGGTGTCGACCATGCTCAATGAAGAACGGAGACAGACCAGTCGATTCTGAAGCTTGATTGTTGTAAGCAAATTCCGCTGTGGGCAGTAGCGTAGCCCAGTCAGTTTGTCGGTAATTGCAATACATGCGCAAATATTGTTCCAGAATCTGGTTGACTCGTTCGGTCTGTCCGTCTGTTTCCGGGTGATAGGCTGTAGACATCGTAGATTTGATATGAAGTTTCTGACAGAACTCCTGGAATAGCTTGGCTGAGAACTGTGTGCCTCGATCAATATGATTTGCCGAGGGATTCCGTGGAGTTTGAATACTTCATTGTAGAAAATCGATGCTACTTGAGACGCTGTCACCGTGTCGTCTACTGCATAGTAGTGAGCATGTTTGGTGAATCGGTCGACAATTACCAAGATGGCCGTCTTCTTTTCTCCCCTGTGGTCTGGGCTTGGGGGTAGCTGTGTAATCAGGTCACAGGTAACCATTTCCCAAGGCCCTTGTGGTACTGGATTAGGTTGTAGTAGTCCGTACGGCTTTTGCTTGCTCGCCTTGTTTCTTTGACAAGCCACACAGCCTTGGACATACTTTTTAACATCAATGGTAAGTCCTGGCCACCAATAATTCCTGCTGATCAACTCTTGTGTTTTCCATCGTCCGGCGTGTCCGGCGGTGGAAATGTCATGGTGTAGCTCGATCAGCTCATTCCGCAGCGTAGAGTCTTTTGGAACGTAGACCTTTCCTCTTCTGAGCAGCAATCCATGCTCGAAGTTCCACTCTTGAAGGTCTTTTCCGAACTCTCGCTTGCCAGTTTTTAGTAGGTGCTGGTAACCTTTGGTCATTTCGTCGTCTTGTAG